AAGACATAAAATGACATAACCATTTTCAGTGTCTTTGACATGAACTCATTTGTCACACTTGTTGATCTTAAATTCACATTCCATCATGACATTATCAAACTTTTCATGCTAATGTTTGGGTGCTTATTTCAAGTTTCGAGTGATACAATGACTTCACGAATTTACAGATTTCTTTTTCTTGTCCTGATAATGAAAAATCCTCGAGTTATTCCATGTAGATTTTTTCTCTAAATCTCCATTCAAAAAGACATTATTAACATTTATTTGATGTACTTCAAGATCTCATAGAGCTACAATCGCAAGTATCATCCTAATAAATGTTATTCACATCACTTGAGAATATGTATTGAAGTAATCAAGGCCTTTATGTTGTCTATAACCTTTTATCATCAATCTAGCTTTATACTTCTCAATAATTACATTTGCGTTCATTTTCCTTTTAAAAATCCATTGGTAAAATGAAAGATCCACTAGTTCTCATATATGATTTTGCAAAATGAAATTCATTTCACTTTTAATGGCCTATTTCCATTGAGATCCTTCTGAAGAGTTCACGGATTCTTGAAAGTTTTGAGGTTCACTATCTTAGCATATAGGTTAGAAAATTATGAGCATAAGATTTGTCCGTCCTTTCTCTTTTGTTGTTTCTTGGTTCAACCTGAACCTCTTATTTTATTTCTTAGTCCTGACTATTTTCAATCATAGTCTCGTGGGTCATTTTGGAAGAGCTTGCTTCTTCTTTGGATCTATACGGAAATAAATGTTCAAAGAATGAAATATTTCTCGATTCCATTATTATATTTTTGTGTATGTCTAGGATTTTAGACTCATGCACAAGAAATCGATAAACACTACTATTATGTGCATAGTTAATGAAGATGCAATATATAATTTTTGGGCCTATCTTTACTTTTTTTGGAGTTGGTACAACAACTTTAGCAGACATCCCCACATTCGTAAGTATTTATAGGAAGATTTTCATTCTTTTCATAACTCATAAGAGGTCTTTTCCATTATTTTTGGATATCTTATTGAAAAGTAATTTGCCAAACACAGTTTCTCCTCACACATTTTGAGGTAACCCAGAATTTACTAATATTTCATTCATCATTTCTTTTTAAGGTATATATATATATATATATATATATATATATATATTATTTAGCAACATCATTTTGCTGCAGCGAAAAAGATATAATGGTTTCATAAATAATTTCATGTTGTACACTGAATTTAGCAAATGTTGCTTCATGCTACACCACCTCAATTGCTTCTTAACACCTTTATTTTCTTTAGTTAATTTTTAACTCCATTCTTATAGAGTTCAAATTTCTCTATGACTTCGCCTTTACTTTTGAGCAAATACACATAAAAATATTCCATGCTATCATCAACAAAAGTAATAGAATACTTATTGCCACCTTTTGTTTGTACAAATTTTAAGTCACATATCTCACTGTGAATTAAATTAAGTGGTTCTCCATTTCAGTCAATTGATTTAAAGGATGAACTTGTCAATTTTGCCTCAACACAAGTTTCACACTTATGTTTAGAATCAATATGGAATGCAAGTATGCAATTCAAGTTAACTAATCTATGTAAAGTATCATAGTTAACATATCATAGTCTATCATGCCACAAACTGGAAGAGTTAAACAAGTAAGCAAAAGAGTTAACTTAATTACTTTTCAATTTCACAACCATTACATTCACTTTAAACATACCGTCGGAAACACAACTCTTTCCGACAAACGTTTCACTCTTGAACAAAATAAATTTATCTAACTCAATTGAAATGTGGAATCCATGCTTATTTAGAAGCGACAAGGACACTCGGTTCTTGCAGATTTTCCGACACATATAATGCATTGTTAAGAGTCAGCTCTTTTCCCGAAGACATCTTCAGAACGACCTTCACTTGACCTTTGATTTCATAAGTTGTTGAATTTTTCATGAACTACTTCTCTCCCTTCTCAATTGCTTCGATTACAGTAAACAACTCGTTATCAGAGTATACGTGCCTTGTAGCACCAGTGTCAATCCACCACTCTTTTGGGTTTGAACCCATTATTTTCACTTCAAAAATAATGGCTGTGAGATTCATCTTGATACGTTCCAAATCACGTTCCAATTAATTTTTCTTACTTGACATAAATGTGTCGTTTTAAATAGTATTATGGCAAGTAATGGTCATTTCCCGCAGATGATTGATTCAAGTATGTCAATTGCGCACTAAAAAGTAAAATTAATAATAATAGATGAAATAGATTAAATAAATGGGGGGTTTTGGTTTGTTGAACTAAGTAAAACGATAAATTTAAATTAGAAGAGACTTGAAATCTGAAAAAAACAAAGTGGTTCTTGATTGAAAGCGAGAAAATATGATTTGGGGGATATTTCGTCGCCACGAGAATGATTTTCAAGTCAATTACCATAATAGATTTTCGTTCTTAAGATTAACAACAATTTAAGAATAATTATTAGTTCAATTACCTCAATCTCTTCTTACATGTTAGTTGAATAAAACAAGTTCTTTACTCAATCCTATTCATTAAACAACCTAGAACAAGCTCTCTAGATTTAATTTAACAAACGTATTACGACAAAAGAGATGAATTGAATTAAAAGTAAACACGCAAGCTCGGTTTACTAACTTAAGTATTAATGCACATATATTCAATTGAAAATTCTTCATAATCTATCGAAATGTAATTGCTACTAGATTTTAGAATCAATAGCTATTACGTACTACTAATCCCAAAATAGCATTCATCGAAACAACTTAATCATTTAGTTATACACCTAAACAATCAAGAAGAACAAAATAAACATTTAACACAATGGATTAAACACATTAATCAAGAGAATTATAAAACATAAATTAATTGAAAATCACAACTCGGGTTTGAAATAATCCCCAATCACAAATATACTTAGTTACCCATGAAATATTCACTAATAACTAACAATTTCTTACAAAACATTGATGGAAAAAGTGAAAAGAAAAACTTATTGATAAAGAGAGAAATGGTAGAAAATCCTTCAATATCAATGGGTCATCTTCTTCAAGCTAATGCAACATCTCCATGTTTCAATCTTTCCCAAAATATCTAAGAAAATATAGGTGAAAGGAAAAGGAAAAAAAAAAGAAAGAAAACAAGAGACAAGAAGGAGAAGAAGCTGCCCCCTAAAGTTCCAAGAGTCCAAGAATGAAGAAGTCTTGTGTTTGGTTGAATGTTGTAAACCAACACCTAAAGGAAATTGCAGCATTCGTACCTAGGATTTCGAAAACAATGAAAAACGGCTCGGGTGGTGCCTAGGCACAGGTATAGTGGCTCCTGGGCGCCACAGTTTCTGTTTCTGCTCGGGCTAGGCGCCGTGGCTCCCAACTCGCTGAATTTTTTTTTAAATCTTATTTTTGCAGCGTATTTAGTCGTCTTCTTCGTTTGCCTTCATCTTTAGCTCATTTCTCGCATAAATTCCTTCAATTCATCGTTTAATATCGAGTTTTCACCGACAAAATAAAAATAAGAAAATTAAGTAATAAATCACTAATAAAACTAGCAAATATCTAAGTTTAATGGTCCTAATAAGCACAATAAACCCGCATTTATCACACCCCCAAACTTAAATCTTTATTAGTCCTCGAACAAAGTAATACAAACACACAAGTTAAAACCAAACGATAATACTATAATAATAACAAACACTCCAATTGTTCGATATTTTGCCACTTTGCTTCAATTCTTACATTATGCAAATAACTTATGAAATGTTTACAAAAATGCTACAACAAACACTTTTAAACTTACACCATGCTTGACTCGTGTGTGTGTGTGGTCATTCCAATTCATCGCAATGCACAAGTTGGTTATTTCCCCAACCCTCAATGGTCAAACTTTCCTTTTTCACTCGTGGGATGCACACTCCCCCAGACATGATATTTTCACTCTAACCCAAGGTATCAAAAACTTAAGGTTGTCCTCAAATCACTAGATTTTTCCCTCTCAAATATGGTTGGTTTGAAAGAAAAAAATAGATCATCTAGTCATGTATTAATTCGCCAAAAATTTTGAGTGCTTAGATCACAACTTATGTTAGGCAAATTACTCACAATCCATCAATTCTTCAACAAAATCACCCCTAGATGCTTATAGCATCCCTTTTATTTTTCTTCATTTTTCCAATGTAGGTAGTCCTCGCTCGAGTCCCTAAGGGTAGCTTTCTTCATTCGTAAATGGTCTCCTACACATTGGTGATGCATAGGACTAGATTACTCAATGCTGACTCACACTCCTTAGAGTAGGCAACTTTTTCCTACAATTTTTTTTTATTATGAAATATAAATAGATGGAAAACAACATCTAACTTTCATTTGAAGTCTAAGAACATTCCACAAAATCAATCACTGAGTCAAGAATTAATACAATTCTAAATAATTTCTTTCACCGGTTCAACCACCCCCAAACTTATCCTTTCATTGGTAGAGTAATTGAAGAATTTCTAATAGCATGGTCATTTAAGTTCGTTAACAACTTACAAGTGCAACCAACAAGTGCGTGTGATAAATCTCATGACCCAAGTGCTCAATAAAGAGTCAATCATGGAATAAGTGGATGAAAGTAAACAACACTTAGCATTCATGTTCCCAATTCATAAATCAAAGTAATGCAATACTCAAAATACAATTGGCAAAACTATCAAACAACACAAACAAGCAACAAAAACAAGTGTTTCACCCGAATTTTTAAATGTTTAGTGAGAACAAAATTAGCACAAACCACAAAATTCCACAAAAAATTTAGCACATACCACCTCCTCACCCCCAAACTTAAATTGTACATTGTCCTCAATGTAAAAGCAAAAAGAAATAGAAAACGCAAGAGGTTCAAATACTCCCCTAGTGGTGTTGACGGTGATGGCTATAATGATGGTTGGGGACCATTGGCGACAAAAATTCACAAAAATAAAAATAAGTGTTGTGAGGTTCTTTATTATGATCACCGGTATTGTTTCCCCCTCTCCCAAACATACTTCAAATGTTCGGGAAAAGATTTAAGTTCCAAGGTAGAGGCCTGCATCACCGAAGGTAAAAGTTTCTCTTTAGATATCGGAAGAGTAATATAGGAGAGATTATACCTTGGTAGAATACTCGATAGTGACTTAAGTGATGCCACGGTTTTAACAATATCTTCACACAGTTGTAGATTCTTGCTCAACCCGGTTAGATTATCAACATCAATGCTTTTAATCAAAGTGGTGTCCAATGCATCTTCATTTGATAAATTGAAATTTTTTTGCACAAATGAATCCATTATAGCTATTGAAAAACAAGCATGAACATCACTAGAATACCTCATTGTTTCAAAGATATTGAAGCGAATAATCTCACCATCAAACTCTGTTGTCAAAGTACCATCATGTACATCTATCTTTGTACTCGCAGTCCTCATAAATGGTCTTCCCAAGAGCAATGGTGGCGTCAAAAATGTTGATTCATCTTGCATGTCAAGAACATAGAAATCTGCTGGAAAAATCAATTCATTTACCTGCACCAAAACATCCTCCAACACACCCTTTGGAAATGCATTAGATCTATCAGCAAGTTAAATAATAACACTGATTTCCTTAAGTGATCCCAAGTTTAAAGAAGCATAAATAGAATGTGACATGACATTAATAGATGCTCCTAAATCTAGCATTGCTTTTCAAACCTAGTATTACCAATAATGCAAGGGATGGTAAAACTTCCTGGATCTTTACATTTTGGTGGAAGTTTCTTTTGCAAGACCGTCAAGACATTTTCTCCTACGCTTACCACTTCATTATCTTTCAATCTATGCTTGTTAGTGCACAATTCCTTGAGGAACTTTGCATAATGTGGCACTTGATAAATGGCATCCAAAAGTGGTATGTTCACTTGAACCTTGCGAAAAGTCTCCAAAATTTCATTCTCATGTTCATCCCTTTTGGACTTTACAAACCTGCAAGGAAATGGAGGGGAGGGAACGTAAGTAGGAATAGGACTTTTAGAATCTACCTTAGATCCCGAGGTTGGAGTCTTAGCTTCATCTTTCTCACATGCTAAGTTATTCTCTTGTGTTGACTCCTCAACTTGATCTTTCATTTTCCTTGGTGTCTTTTCCAAAACTTTTTCACTTCTTAGTGTCATAGCACTGACATTTTCTCTAGGGTTGATTGCTTGAGAAGGGAGTTTTCCTAATCCTTGAGCCTCCAATTTACCCAATGTATTGGCCAATTGACTCACTTGTGTCTCCAAATTCTTAATTGAGGTTTTTGTCTCTTGTTGAAAGTGCATTGTACTAGAAGCTAAGGACTTTACCATATCTTCAAGAGACATCTCTGAACTTTGAGACGAAGTTTGTTGACGAGGTTGAGAGTGTTGTGCTTGCCTTTGTTGATTGAACCCCATGAAATGATTAAACTGTGATTGTGGAGCTATAAAATGATTTCCTCCCTAACTGAGATTAGGATGATCTCTCAATCCAAGATTAAAAGTGTTAGCATATGGATCATATCTATGTTCATGTTGCATTGGAAATCCCCCAATGGCATTCGCTTGCTCTGAGACTCTTTCTTGTCGGGCATGCATAGGTAGGGTGTCCCACAATAAAACAATTCCTTCACACTTTTGTTTGTTGCATTGTCCCAAGTGCCATTTGTTGCACAAGCGATGTAAGACTGGCTAATTGTCGTTCAATTTGAGAGGTTGCTCCTACCTCACTTGCTTGTTTAATTGGTGCCACTTCTCTACTACCAAATTGTTGTGAGTTTGCGACCATGTTGGCTATCAAATCCCTAGCAACTATCGGTGTTTTATCCATTAAAGTTCCTCCACTGGCCGCATCAATCATACTTTTCTCCATTGGGAGCAATCCTTCATAGAAGTATTGTAGAAGTAATTGCTCACTGATTTCGTGGTTTGGGCAACTAGCACATAGCCTTTTGAATCTCTCACAATATTCATAGAGACTTTTCCCTTAAGATTGCCAAATGCTACAGATTTCTTTTCTGATGTTTGTAGCCTTTGAAGCTGGGAAATACCTCTCCAAGAAGTGCTTTTGCATTTCATTCCACGTGGTAATAAGACCGGCTGGCAAATAATAGAGTCATTCCTTAGCAGTGTCTACAAGAGAAAAAGGGAATGCTTGCAATTTCACTTGCTCTTTCGATATACTCGCAGGTTTCATGCTTGAGCAAATCACATGAAACTCCTTCAAATGCTTATTTGGATCCTCTCTGGCGAATCCATGAAATGTAGAAACTAGATGAATCATCCCGGACTTGAGTTCAAATCCCACCTCCACTTGAGGATATTGAATGCATAGAGGTTGTTGAACAAAAGTTGGAGCTACAAGTTTCTTTAAGGTCCGATTTGCATCCGCCATTTCGGGCTCTATGTGTTCGGAGTCATTTGAGGATTCAATGCTCAGTCGCCTTAGATGTCTAGTTGGAGAAATGTCTTCTCCACTTTTCGATGTGTCGGCCACTTTTCTTGATCTTAGGTTGTAGTGTGTTATAAGTTTTTTGCTCATTTACAACCTAAATGAGACAAAGAAAAAAACAAAAATAAATAGAAAAATAACAAAAAGAAAAATATTGCACTTAACAAATTGATAGAACAATCCTTGGCGACACGGCGCCAAAATTGATACGTTCCAAATCACTTTCCAATTAATTTTCCTTAGTTAACTTAAATGAGTCATTTTAAATAGTATTATGGCAAGTAATGGTCATTTCCCGCAGATGATTGATTCAATTATGTCAATTGTGCACTAAAAAGTAAAATTAATAATAATAGACTAAATATATTAAATGTGGAGTTTTAGTTTGTTGAACTAAAGAAAACGATAAATTTAAACTAGAAGAGACTTGAAGTCTGAAACAAACAAAGTGATTCTTGATTGAATGCAAGAAAATGTGATTGGGGGATATTTCGTCACCACGAGAATGATTTTCAAATCAATTACCACAATAGATTTTCATTCTCAAAATTAACAACAATTCGAGAATAATTATAAGCTCAATTACCCCCAATCTCTTCTTACGTGTTGTTGAATAAAACAAGTTCTTTACTCAATCTTATTCATTAAACAACCTAGAACAAGCTCTCTAGATTTAATTTAACAAACGCATTATGACAAAAGAGATTAATTGAATTAAGGGTAAACTTGCAAGCTTGGTTTACTAACTTAAGTATTAATCCACATACATTCAATTGAAAATTCTTCATAATCTATCGAAATGTAATTGCTACTAGGTTTTAGAACCAATAGCTATTACGTACTACTAATCCCAAAATAGCATTCAACGAAACAATTTAATCATTTAGTTGTACACCTAAACAATCAAGAAGAACAAAATAAACATTTAACACAATGGATTAAACACATTAATCAAGAGAATTATAAAGCACAAATTAATTAAAAATCATAACTCGGCTTTGAAATAATCCCCAATCACAAATATATTTAGTTACCCATGAAATATTCACTAATAACTAACAATTTCTTACAAAACATTGATAGAAAAAGTGAATAAAAAAACTTATTGATAAAGAGAGAAATGGTAGAAAATCTTTCAATATCAATGGGTTATCTTCTCCAAACTAATGCACCATCTCCATGTTTCAATCTTCCCCAAAATATCTAAGAAAATATAGGTAAAAGGAAAAGGAAAAAAAAAAAGAAAGAAAACAAGAGACAAGAAGAAGAAAAAGCTGCCACCTAAAGTTCCAAGAGTCCAAGAATGAAGAAGTCTTGTGTTTGGTTCAATGTTTTAAACCAAAACCTAAAAAAAATTACAACATTGGTCCTTGGGATTTTGAAAACAATGAAAAATGACCCAGGTGGCGCCTAGGCGCTGGTACAGTGGAGCCTGGGCGCCACAGTTTCTGTTTCCGCGGCGCCCAGCTCGCTGAATTTTATTTATTTTTTAAATCTTCTTTCGGCGGCGTCTTTGGTCGTCTTCTTCGTTTGCCTTCACCTTTAGCTCGCTTCTCGCATAAATTCCTTCAATTCATCATTTAATCTCGAGTTTTCACCTACAAAATAAAAATAAGAAAATTAAGTAATAAATCGCTAATAAAACTCGCAAATATCTAAGTTTAATGGTCCGAATAAGCGCAATAAACCCGCATTTATCACATCTCTAGCACATCATGTGCTATATTGTCAACCACATTTGCTTCTTTCTTCTTTTTAGACAATCTGCACTCCGTAGACTTATGACCTACTTTGTCACGGCTGAAGCATTTTTCTTGAAATTTCTTTTTAGAAATTCCACCTTTTAGTCCCATCCTTTTCCACCAGCTGGCCTAGACTTACTCTTATAGGTCTGAGAACTTTGACCATGATCCACAACATTGGCTTTAGTCATACCAGAATTGAACCACTTCTTTTGTGAACTCTTGTTGCCTTCTTCAATTTAATGTTTAACAATTAGTTCTTCGATGTTCATTTTTTCTTTTATACTTAAAATAATTCTTGAAATCTTTCCACTCCAGAGGCAACTTTTCAATAATCGTAGCCATTTGAAATGTTTCACTCAGAAATCATCCCCTCAACATAAATCTCATGAAGAATCACTTGGAGTTCTTGCACTCGATTGATTACAATTTTTGAGTCCATCATTTTATAATCTAAGAATTTGCCGATAATAAGCTTTTTAGCATTGGCATCCTCAATTTTACATTTTCGGTCCAAATACTCCCATAACTCTTTAGCTGTTTTCATTGTATTGCATATGTTATACCAGTAAACCTACCAAGCTATTCATGATATAGTTTTAGCACAGCAAATTAGAATGTTTCTATGCAACAAGTATGCTAATAGCTTGAACATCTCCTTCATCTTCATTGAGGTTTGGAGCAGTTTCAGTAAAAAATCTTACAAAATTCAAGGTGATCAGTAAAACAACATTTTCTATTGCCATCTTTGAAATTTAAGCTATTAAATTTCTTCAATTTTTTCCCATGATTAATCGGAACAGTAACAGTATGACCGATTGCTTGAGACAAAGTTTGGCTCACAACATGATTTGGCAAATTAGACACAGTCTGTGCCACAACAAAATTGGCCCTTCAGCCACAATAAAGCCTACAAAGTAATTTCTAGTAGCCACAGTTTGGGTCATATCCATATTAGTTGCTTCGGTTGTCATTTATGGAAATCAAATAAAAATTAGTTTCTGAAATCAGCAATATAATACAAGAACATGTTTGTTCTTTTTCAAAATCTATTTTAAGTTTGTTTCATAAATTGCAGAGTAAACAGTAAGAACATAAACAGGTAATTTAATTAAAATTGCAGAATATAACAATACTTTTTTGGACTAAAATCGAATGGAAGGTAGAACTAAATCTGCAGCAATATTTCAATTTCAGACAAGAAATAGATTTGCAAACTGAGGCTTGTGCATTACATAGTTTTCTTAAGACAGATTAACCCACTCACTATAGTGCTCGAGGCTTCGTATGGACATCTGTCTCCCATGATGCAATGAAAAATTGGTAGTGTCAAAGCACTTTAGTTTCTAATCTGGCAAAATGCTTTAGTGTTGAAATAGCACCATTATGACTTAGACGAAAATGAAAATTCTCTGACTTAACTGAACTAGAAATTGTACAGAAGAGAACAAAAATTTTCTAGTTTAGAATAATGGAAAAACGAGCTCAGTTATAAACTTAGCCCCGTGAGTGGTGAGTAAATCTGTCCATAAACATGCCATTAATTCAATACTATAATTGCAATAACCATTGGAATTTCAACAATTTCGGAAGATAAAAAGTTAGTTGAAGAAAGCAAAACGTGGACACTCTTAAGAGGTCAATTTTTGCTCTATTTAGTCCAACATTTGTGTACGCAAGACGCGCCCGTACACAAATTCAAGGCTCAATGTACATTTTTTTTATCCTTGATTTGCACCCCCACTCAAGCATGTGGAGAAACCCTTTATCCTATACATGATCACGGCCTTCTAAAGTGTAGCCATATATAAACAAATCATTGCTTTCATAAACTTCCTACGCGGGACAAATTTAAATGTAGTTTTCTACCCAACATAAATCATCTTCCAATGGTCCATTTGAACTTTAATTTCTCATTCACTCGTTTATCATTTTTTATAAGTAAATATATGATTTTGATGATTTCACATAGAAGTACATGGATCAAGTTTAATCTTCTAAATTGAACCAACAAGTCCCACCTAAAATTGTGCCAAAAATAAAGTCAACGCTGCCATTTTTCCAACAATATATTACGTATTGTGATTAAATTGATTGTTTTTATGGTATTGGGCAAGCAAATCAAAACTCTACTAATTTTACAACCCAATTCATTTACATGAACCCACAATCCGATATTACACTGATTTGGGCCCTGAGAAGTTGTGTTGCAAAAATGATTTGTT